TTCTAGGCTGCCACAATAAATCCAGGCAGGTGTGACCCTGTGGCGTGGAGCCAGTCATCTCCAAACTCTTATGCAGGCTCTGTAACCAGCAGGAGTTGCCTCCCACTTACATCCTGGGTGGAAGTCACTCCCATTCCCCTAGCTCAAAGCACAGCCAAAGATATTTAACATATCTATGAAACCAGTTAAATGTTATAGATATGCCAATGAAGATGATTTCAAACTTCCTGCATCCAGAACCAAAAGAGAAAAAAATTTAAGTGGCCAAGTTTGTGATAATTTATTATAGCAGTTTTATTAATTTGCTGCAGTCATTGTAACAAAGTATCACACATTAGGAAGCTTAAATAAGAGAAACTGATAGGCTCACAGTTTTAGGCTAGAAGTCCAAGATCAAGGTGTGAGCAAGTTTGTTTCCTTCTGATGGCTGTGAGACAAAATACAAAAACAAAAACAAAAACATTCAATTCCTCCTTCTCGGCTTCTGATAGTTTTGTTAGCATAGGTAGCTAGACATTAATAAAGAAAGGTAGAAAAGGGAATCAGACATTAAGAAGCTTAATAAACTGGGAGGCTGAATCCAGTACTGGGCCTGCTTCACTAGAAAGCTACAGCTTTACACATTCCCCAGAGAACCGCAGGTCCTTTCGCACAGATTACTGAGAGAAGGAATAGAACAATAAAGGGGAAATTTCTCTGTTGGGCACATGCCCAGCAGAAGCCAGGACAGTACAAGGGGAGGTGCTACTATTTTGAGGTATGCTAAATAGGAACAAAGATGGTTAACATATGAGGGAATGTCTAGCCTAAGAAAATGATTGGGTTTGATAAAGGTCACAGAACCCTGAAAGATCTAGGAAATGGATTGGTTAGGTAGCAGGCCCAACACAAGCCTGGGAAGGACTGGGAAATTGATTTGTTAGCTTGAAAGGGTACCTAGTCCTTCCTAAACTTGAGATAATATAATATAATATAATATAATATAATATAATATAATATAAGGTAATGAAGGAGCTCTCCCTCTCTCTTTCCTCTCTCTCTCTCTCTCTCTCTGGATAACACAGTCACCTTGTTCATTCACGTGTTCTCTCTCTAAGCAACTGTGTTGGCTCCAGGTGCGGGTCTAGGCACAGCACCAGCCAGAGTGCAGCGGGGAACAAAGGCTGAGCTAGCCAGATGGGGATAAGGACATGGACTGAACCAATGTCGCAAAATGTCTGGACGCTGACCCTATATCTCAGCCCAATGAAGACAAGGCTGAAATTTTATCATGGCAGGATGAATGAAGATGAGACATGGAAGTGAACTGAGATGCCCTTTGTGTTTACTTTAACTTCAATAAACCTTACTACACCACAACCTCCCATACTTGGGTCCCTGGAATGCTTTCCTTGCAGCTCCATGAAAGAGCCTTATTTCCACTGGCAGAAGTTTGATGGCAATCTTCTATGTTCTTTGGCTTGTAGAAGCATCACTTCAATCTCTATCTTCATCTTCACGTCGTGTTCTCCCTACATGTCTGTTTCTGTGTCCAAATTTTCTCTTTTTGTAAGGACATCAGTCATATTGGACTAAGGCCCATCCTAGTGACCTAGTTTTAACTTAATTAATTACATTTGCAATGGCCTTAATTGTAAACACAGCCACAATCTGAGCTACTAGAGATTAAGACTTCAACATATAAATTGGGGTGGGGAGGAGCACAAGTCAACCCATAATAGTAACCATAGAAAACTATATCTAATATATTATTAAAAATTATGAGATAAAAAGAAGAAAGAAAGTGTGACCTTTACACAGAAAAAAATGTAGGCAATAGAAAGTATTATTGAAAGGGTTCAGATTTTAGGCTTAGCAGATAGTTTAAATATAATTTTTAAAACTAATGGAAAGCATGCTTAAGAAAGTAAAGAAGGTATGTTGACAGCATGTAATTAAATAGAGAATATCTATTCAAAAGGTAGAAATCTTTTTTAAAAAGGTAGAACAAAATGGAAATTCTGGAGTTGGAAAATATAATAACCAAATTGAATCAGTCACTAAAGTTTCTCAATAGTAAATCTGTGCTTCCAGAATAAGAAATCAGTGAACTTGAAGGTAGATTTACAGAGCTTATACCATCTGGAAAAACAGCAAGGAAGAAAGAATTAAGAAAAATGAACACAGACTTAGAGAAATATGGGACACAATTAAAACATATACATAATGGTAGTATCAGAAGGGGAGGAGAGAAAGAAAGTAACAGAAAAAAATATTTTAAGAAATAATATCTCTCAACTACCCCAATTTGACAGAAAACCATTTACTCATTTCAGAAGCTCAATGAGTCAATGTAGAGTAAATTCAAAGAAATCTACACCCAGACACATGGTTAAAATGTTGGAAGATATACTGAAACCCTTGAAAGCAGAAAGAGAAAAATCTTCACATACAGGGGTAACTCTAATAAAATTAAAAACTGACTTCTCAACAACATGCTTTTACATTCATTCAGTCCCCTTGAGCAAGCCAACTCCCCTCTGCATTGTTAGACAACACACTTAGATGTCATCTGTCCCACCTCAACTTCTTTAACACTGTTCCCAGCCTTTGTCCCAGGAGCAGTCTACTTTTTCTTTCCCTCAGGGCCAACTCCCTCGCATGCATACTCCAGCTTTTTGATAAACTTCTTGCCTGAGTACTATTTTTGTGGTGAAATCTATTTCCGTCTCTGGAGTTCCCAAGAATCCCCTGATGCCAGTAACACTCACTAATATGTTGTTAATGTAAGAAATATCTGAACCTGTAGAGAATTTTTATGAGTTGATTTGAGTTAAATTAATATCAATTGCAGGAAACAAAATCTCAAGAGATTGAGAAAATGCTTTGGAAAATGGCAGTTTTACCATTTTATATATCAGAACCAGAAAGGAAGACTTAAGCCTTTCTGGTTCCCCAGCCATCTTGGTGACTGTGCTTGGTAGGGGTCCATTGCACACCTAAGGGGTTTATTCCACACCTAAAAGGTCCATTCCACACCTAAGGTAGGAAGATAGTGGCTGCAAAAGAGGAAAAAAGGAATAATTAAGAGGGTTACATGAAATTCATTGGTGATAGATTAGGGAAGAGGGAGAGCAAAGCAGGGAAGTCACTGGGTTTAGATAACAAATAAAGTGGGTAAACACATACTTTTTCTGCATTGGTGGGTATAGGGTAGTTAACATTTATAGCACATAGAGATGGTATGCAGCAGAACAAGATAACAATGAGGGGCTTGTGGCCTGTGTTCTGGTGGGAGATTGTGCACTGAAGGCTTTGGCAAAAGGGCAGTGAGTACTCTGACATTCCAAAGGTATGTTATTGTAGATGCAAAAAGACAATAGACAAGCTCAGTTAAGGTAAAGAGTGACCTTTGTTAAGAAAGATAGGAGCCTCAGACTTGACTGCCTGCCATGACTCTCCTTTAGTTAGGAAGTGTTGATTTCAGACTATCCTTTGTGGTTACTTTAGGTCTCTGAGTTCTCAAGGTCTGCCATGCAGGCCTCTTCTGAGCTTGTCAGGTTTTATATGTGACTTTTTTTTCATCCACAAAGTTAAGACACATATCAGAAGCCCTAAAGTAACCACTAAGAAAATAACTGAGTAATATAGTGAAAAATAATTAAAGGAATTAAAATATTGCACTAGAAAATATACACTTAATCCTAAAGAAAGCAGTAAAGGAAGAACAGAAGAATAAAAAAATACATGGGAGCTCTGACCAGGTGGCTCAGTGGGCTTGGAGCACTGCCCCATACACCAAAAATGTTGCAGGTTTGATCCCCAGTCAAAGGACATACTGAGGTTGTGGGTTCAATCCCCAGGCAGGGTGCATATGGGAGGCAACCCATAGATGTTTCTCTCTCACATTGATATTTCTCTCTCTCTCTAAAAAAAAAAATCAGTGAAATATAAATTTGGTGAGGATTAAAAGAAATACATGGGACATATGGAAAACAAAATTAAAATGACAGACAAATCCAATTGTATCAGTAATGATATTAAATGTGAATGGATTAAATAATTACATCAAAAAGCAGGTGATCAAACTGGTTAAAAAGTGATATACAAGTATAAACCATCTCCACAAGACACACTTTTAAGTCAAAGATAAAAATAAGTTAAAACTAAAATGATGGGGAAATATATACAAACAGCAAACATGAGAGCTGGAGTTGCAATACTATTATTAGACAACATCAACTTTAAACAAAAAATATCACTAGAGATAAGAATATAATGATAAAATGGCAAACCAATCAAGAAGATGCTATAAACACATAGGTACCTAATAAGAGACACAAAAATACATGAAGCAAAAATGGGCAGAACTCAAGAAATAGAAAATCCAATGATAATAGTTAGAGATTTCAATATCACACTTTCTATAGTAGAACAACTAGGCAGAATATCACAAAGAGAGAGAGAACTGGAACAAAACTGTAAACCAAGTAGACCCAAAAGACATCCACCTTACAGCAACAGAAAACACACTCTTCTCAAGCATGGAGGGAGCCCTCTCCAGGATAGCCTCATATCTTGAGGCTGCATAAAGGAAACCTCAAGAACAGGACCAAATTAAATATACATTTTAAAGTTTTTTCCCACAGATTTATCAACATACAAACATTTAGAAAATTTTTTGTTTGCTTGGTTGCACTAGTAGGATGGGATATGAGTTTTTGCAGTTGTCCTGGGACACACTGTGGTGAGGCTGACTTGAGCATTTTTGAGACACCCACTAAGCTAGATCGTTGTATAACAACATCTTTATTGGAGAAATTTTTCTTTCTATTCCTTTCTCCTTTTACTCTTTTTAGAGTCCAGCATCCTGTGGCTTAGTTATTTATATTAATTCTATCCTCTTATCAGCTTCTCTGCTGGTTCCAAGTTAGAGATTTATAGTGCAGAAAGAGGTGTAGATTAAGAAGGGAATATAAAGAACAAAATCCCAAACCTATACAGCTGAAAGGTACCTGCAGCTAAAACCCTGCCAATGTGGGTTTAGAATATTGAGCAGTGCAAATGTTGTGTGGTGATCCTGTGATGTGATTGTGGTTGGGGGAGGAGCTGAGCTCAGCTGAGAATTTGTGTACGGGCTGCAGGTGCCCGGGAAGCGCTGTGGCTCCACAGCACAGAAATAAAGTGGCTGAGTCTGTGGTCTTGGAAGAGGAAATAAACAATGTACTGTGGCGTTCCTTTTTCGTAGCATTTAAGTTTCCATTCCACTTTGTCCCTGAAGGAATGTAAAACAGGTTGATGAGGTGGCCCTCAGAATTTTGGTGAAACCATTGCACATTGTTCACAGAGGTGGAAAAGTTGCACCACAGTGTGGAACTGGCTCCTTCCTGGAGACTCAAGGCTGAGGGATTCTGCTCCACCTGCAGCCCTTTCACACCTGACGAGAACACAGAAACAGTCACAGTGATGGTCCAGTATAACACCCACAAAAAACCAGAAAATGCCCCCATAAATCATGAGAATGATAGAAAGTCTGCCAGACTCGTGAGCAACTTCTCCTCCCTTCCTCAACAGTACTCCCCGCAGACTCACATCTGGGACAGCCCCAACTCACAGCAAACATGGGTGCACAAAAGCCCCAGCACAGTGCTCAACAGCCTCTTCATGATGCTTTGCCTTGTTGCTTGAGACATTTTCACCCTAAGATGTATTTAACTGTCCCCTGCCTGGATGGTGAGTGATATGGTTTCATTCTGGAGCTGTTCCTGCACCTGCAACCAATCAGCCTCACTCAACAAACCCTGCTCAGAGAGTGACAGGAAGCCGCACCTTTCAGCCTCACCCCTACTGAGAATGGGCTGGATGGAGAGTGGTGGAAGGAGAGTGAAAAAGAAAGGTCACTATTGTATTACTTGAGGGACATTTTCTGATAATCCTGGAGGTAGTAAAGAGTGTAAGCAGGAAAGGGAGGGGCTGTCTCCCCTAGCATAGATAGGGGAGATGCTAGGAAGGACCATAAAAAGAACATTCACATATTATATCCAAGTAACAGGCTTCTGTTCTGACAAAAGGATCTTTACTAACCTATAAATTAATCACATGAGAGTCACTGCAGTCATGCAACATAATAAGAATGTAAATTTATGTATTATCTACTTAATGAATTCCTATTATTGGACTGTATGACATCTATGGATGGGAACTCTCCTGGAATAACCAAGACTAGTGGCACATGTTGTAAGAAATGAACCAAATGACTGTAAATTGTCAAGAAAAGAATAGTATACATTCAGACATTATTTTTAAATATTATCCTTCCTGCTTCACATCATGTTTTTCTAATTTTTTCATTTTATTTTTTATTTCTCTTGTTTATTCTATTACAATTTCTCCCCTTTGCTCCCATCCACGCAGCCCAGACTCTGCCTCCTCAGTCCATCCCCACACTGTTGTCCATGTCTATGGGTCATTCATACATGTCCTTTTACTAATCCCTTCCCCTTCTTTCCACCATTCCCCCCTTCCTCTTCTCCTTTGGCAGCTGTCAGTTTGTTCCATGTTTCCATATCTCTGGATAATGGACTAAAAACTGTGGTACAGTACATTTACACAGTGGAATACTACACAGCAGAAAGAAAGAAGGAACTCCTATTTTTTGCAACAGCATGGTTAGAATTGGAGAGTATTATGCTAAGAGAAATAAATCAGTTGGTGAAAGACAAATACCATATGATCTCACTCATAAAAGAAATCCAATGTTTTTCTAATTCTTATCTGTAAAAACTTCCTGTGGGTCATGCTGGCAGTTTAGTTCATCTTTTTTTCTCTCTAATTCTTCTGGTGTCCTCTTTTCTTCCCACTTTTGCTTCTCATTACATTTTAGTTTCATATTCCCCTTACTGCCTCTCTTGTCCCTTTTTTTGGTTTTCTAGTTACAAGAAAGAAACAGAAAGAATATTAGATAAAAGATGGCATTTTATGGTTTAGAAATAATTTGGAAACTGATATTTAAAAATCATAGCTAATAAAAATTTAAAAATCAGGAAAATCTAAAATCTATACTTTGGAATTCTTATTCTTCTCTTTGCTTTATATGACTATTTTATCCAGGAGTCATTTCTGATAGCTACAGATAAAGATGATGTAGATAAAGATAATGATAACAATATAAATAGAGATATATGCATTATAGCTATCAACTTCTAGTACTTGAATCAAAGAATAGACAAAGCTATTAACTGAAAGGAATACTCAGCAAGAAGCATATTACTTATGAGTTGGTAAGAATTTTGTTTGTCTTCACACACAATTATTCTTCCCTCTTTACTATTACTAGCCCCTATTGCAACACTAGCTTCCTCACAGCAGTCTTGGTTTAAGAAAAGCCTATAGCATCTCCTAATGGGCTAAATCTTAAGAAAAGAGCACTTGCCAGTCAGCAGATGAGATGGCTCAGCCTAGCCTTCCTGCCTAGGGCTATCCCTGTGGATTGACTTGAAGCTCTGGAAGTGTCCACAAGAACAGAGAGTACCGTAAACAGGACCATGAGTCCCCACAGTGTCTTTTATGAAAATAAATTATTTCATATAATGTAATTATCTGTACTTATATGAAATCAATTCATTTATCTTTTACCTGTGAACTTATAAAAGAACATAAGCCCTCCAAATTGATTCTATCTAGTTTAGCCAATATATTTAAGAATGTTCTAGATCTGGGAAAATACAAAATGAATTAAACACTATATCTTCCTCTACAGAGCTTGTGACATGGGAGAGATGGACATCTCTGTAAATGTAATAAAAGCCTAAAGAATACCATTATAAAAGCATGATAAATACTACATGAACACCAAGACAAGTAACAATTACCTCAAGCCTATATTACAGGAGACAGTTCAATGGAACATGTGACACTGTAGCAGGGTGCACCAGAGGGACTCCAAATAGGGATTTGTAATGGGGCCCAGAACTCAGGGTGTCCAGGAAATATTAGAAAAGTATGGGATGTCCTCACCCCCACAAGTCTGAACTGGGGAATGGGACACATGGAGCAGGGCCATTGAGAGCTGTTTTGTACAGCAACAGCTTTGCAGCTAACCTTTGGCATGGTCATCTAACATATCTATAAACCTTTAACTGGTTTCATAGATATGTTAAATAGCCATGGCCATGCTTTGAGCCAGGGGGTTGGGAGTAACTTCCACCCAGGATGTAAGTGGGAGGCAACTCCCCCTGGTTACAGCACTTGCATGCCTACCTGAGAGCTTGGAGATGATTGGCTCCACACCATGGGGCCACACCCTTCTGGACTTAGTTTGGGAGCCAAGAAAGACTAGAAGAATATGGGAATGCTGGCAGATGTAACTGATTGTGGGAGGAGTCGGAAATGGTGTGGCAGAGGAAGATTGGCGCTGGGATTTAAACCCAGGTGCAGCAGACATGTGGGATGGTTGGGACCAAATGGCTTTGGGGTGCTCCCTTTTGCCACATGGCTTAGGAAGCAGGAGAGACTTTGCTGGGAAGGAAAGGGGTGAAAAGATTCTTGCTAGTGGTGCATGAGAAGGTGACACATAGTTCTGGTTTAACTGGAGATCGTGGTAGCAACACAACTGATGGTGCCAGGAACTGGGGACTACCTAAGCCACAGACTTCTACTTCTTTTCCTGAGATATGGGAAGAGGGAGAAGGGAGGACTGTGTATGTTTGTGGGTATTCTAAAGGACTTTAGTATTTTAATGAAGACATTAAGTCATTACTCTAAGTCTGTATAACTTTTTGAATAAATAATTTCTTTCCTTTTCACCAATCTCTGGCATTGAGAGACATCTTTCCCTGGTGGCATCCAAGATGAACCTAGTATAGAGGCGGATACCCCCAGAGCAGAATGATATACTATTTCCATTGGGTAATAGTATATCATTCACCCCCTCTCCCTGGGAGTCTGTTCTGTAACAATACTGTATGTCTTCCATGGAAGTGCCAAGAGAGGATAATAACAAAAGCAAAGATGAGTGATCTTTCACAGGGAGCCATTTATTTTAAATACAAGGAACAGAGAAAACGAGCAAGTGTATTGACAGGGCCACTGATAACATACACACACAAACAAGATAGATGTACTGAAGAACACAGGGTGTCTCTGTCACTTGAATGTGGACACAGAGTGTAACCTTAACCAACACACCGTTCAGGCTCAATGAAAATGCTTGTTCACCACCTAAACACTTGTCCTTGGAACTGCATTTGAATATCAGAAAATGTTGTGGGCTGTGCTGCTACTGACATAGAAGACAGGCTCTGATTTGGAATTTGGGGGACTTGAGGAGTGAGGAAAAATTAATTAACTAGACCATTCTTTCCTCTCAGATTGCATGGATACAGTAGATTCTTATAAAACAAAGTATTGTTTCCTAGGAGTGCTCAGGATTCATCTTGCTTCTCTTATGTATTCATCTGTGGTTCTGAAGGGTGTTCATGAATTAGCAAAGTATTCACTGTAGCTGCTCATGCTGGCCTGAATACCTTGCAATATTAAACAATGTTACTTTTAAATTGTACATGTTTTTCCAAACTTAACCCAATAAAGAGTGATACTATTTACTTGAGCAATTAGATGGACATCGAAACAAAAATTGTGAATAGTTTTATGTTTATGAAAATCTATAAATTTTGAAATACATTTTAAATTAAACTTTAGTTTAAAATACATTTTATTAAAACATTTGATCATTTTTATGTTTTAGCTTTAGTAGATTATTTAAAAAAATAACTAGTTTTGAAAATGTGAAAATAATTTTAGTTTGTGCTCTTGTCTCTGACACTATAAATAATAATAACCCTCTATAGATGGACTTTGAGGTAAAAGCCATAAAAATGAAGACCTCTATATTTTCACTAAAGTAGAAAAGGAAGTGATCAACAGACACTGAAGATCAGATGAATTATTCAAGAGTGCTGCGAATGTTTACTAATGGCACTGTGAGAAATAGTGTAAGAGAATAAGATGACCAAGGAATAACTGGTTATTATGGGCACTAGGTGGATATTAGAGAAATTGAATCAAAATGGAGAAAAAGAGGAGAGAGGTAACCTGGATGGGTCTGATAGAGAAAGGGTGGGTCAGCCACTCATACACAGTCAACCCTGGGATTCCACATGGAACTTTGGCATGATATTGTTTAATTTAGAATGTCTGCTACTGGAGACCACTGGATGAAGAACGTCTTTTTTCCTTCATGCTATATTGTTTTTGGGAAAGTTACCTTGTATGCATCCTTCAATGTCAAGATTTATTAAGTCTACCAATCTCAAATACTTTAGTCAAAGAGCTGGAGTCTGATGAGGAAAGAGACCTCTCAGATTACTAATAAACTAGTCTGGAGATAAAACAGTTTGAAATAAGCAATTGTCCTGGGTTTTCTGATTGCTTGAGAGATGAGATGAATAATACAAAGCAATTCTCTGAATTGCCTTATGCCAGCTCAGCCACCTTAGCCATCACTATCTCCATTGACATGGGAGCCAGTAAATTCCTCCAGCTTGTTGAAAATCCTACAGCCTCAGCCCTGGCTGGCGTAGCTCAGTGGATTGAGCACAGGGCTGCAAACCAAAGTATCGCAGGTTTGATTCCCAGTCAGGGTACATGCCTGGTTTGCAGGCCATGACCCCCAGCAACCACACATTGATGTTTTTCTCTCTCTCTCTCTCTCTCTTGCCCTTCCCTTTCTAAAAATAAATAAATA